GAGCTAAAAGTACAGAGAATTGCCTATCATTAGAACCAAAATAAGAAAAGACTAGTTGCGTCGCCTCCTTTTTGCAGGTGACTCAACTCCCTCCCTATCCCTTAGTCGAATAATTAAGCACAAATAGTTTTTACTTATCTTCTTGCCGGTATTCTTTACATTCATAGTATTTCCAATTTGGTTTATTTCTATGGCTTCTCTAATTTTACGTTTAGCCGCAAACATACCATAATCAGCAAACGACAAGTTTGAGATCATTCGATCTCGTGACCCGTTTTTGCCCTGTGCTCAGAAAGCTCTGATTTTTGAACCCAACAGCCTTTGCATGAGCTTTTGTGCTCAGCCACCCTTTGTGGAATGGAACGACAAGTCTCTCCAACATAAAAGCGACCACATTAACACATTATCTTGTAACAACCCAATCTGGATAATGGGTCAACTTTCTCTCTAAAAGTGAGCATAACCGAAGAAAGTGTCGTAGTTTCCCTGAAGACCGTTTTTATTCCCCACTTCCTTACTTTTTCACCTATCTTTTTAGAGAGAATGCACGAAGGTAAAGACAAAACATGAGAAAAGGTCTCCTTATCTCCCCTATTTATTTACCATTCATAAAGCTATTCTTTATTAATCTAATGCTATTTTCAATCAAGCCTAGGGGATAGTCATTCTCAATAAATAATATTTTAGGCCGATTCAGTTCATTGTCACAATGGTCTATATCGGCTAGTCTTATGCTCTGAATTATCATAGATTTTAAAACTCCAACCTTTATTTTGTAACTATGATTAGAAAAAAAGTTAAGTATAAAGCTGCCATGTGTTGGCCTTCTATAGACAACCCTGCTTAACTTCTCACCTGCTCTGATCACTTATACATCTAAAAAGGGTAAAGTGTTGTTGACCTCCATCTCCATTGTAAACTTTATATTGCAATCAATCTGGTTAATTAACTATCCTTGCCATGCTGCCATATGGCAAAGTTGTCATCCATATATCTAACTAATAGTTTTAGTGTCAATCTTACCTCTTCCATGAAGTGTTCCTCCATTCTTGACATGCAATGAGAGTCAAGCAAGATCCCATTGATAGGCCTTGCACCTGTTCATAAACTTTATTATTAAAGGTGAAGTATGGGCTGCTCATGGATAGATTAAGAAGCCTTAAGATTGATCCTTTGCTCAAATTTCCCTCCCCAATAACTTCTGGGTGTTCATCTAGGCTGAGTGTAAGTGCTTCAATAGCTTTCTTAACTGGGATGTTAGTATACATTGATACAATATCAAAACTAACCAAAAGGTCCTCCTCTTTAATACTCTGTTGATCTATTAATCTAGCAAATTCATATGACTTCCTCATTGAATAGTTCAAATACCCAGCCAATTTCCTTAGTTGTATACATAAGAAATGTGAGATTCTATGCATCACAGTACCCTTGTTATTTACAATCCATCTTAAATGAACTTATTCCTTGTGTATTTTTAGAAGGCCGTAAGCCAAAGGTGCCCTAGCATCCCTCTGAAGAAGTGAATTCATTTTCCACTTCTCAATTTCTCTTCTGCTTATACAAATGTTAAGCGATTCCTCAAGTCTGGTCTTAAGACTTTCTGTGGGATCCTTTAGTAAAAGCCGGTAAGTTTCTTGGTCATTTAAG